CTTTTTGGAAGAGTTCCTATATGGGAACTCTTCCGGTAAGGTAGGTATACCTTACCGGAGCCGCCGTGCGGCCTCCACGTTTTGAGAGCCTTTTCGGTGGAATTTTTTGATGATTTTTTTAGCATCTTCGTCATCAAGTCTAGTACATCCATACCAAATTTCAGCAAAAAAATTCAATCGGGAAGGCAGTCAAACGATTTTTGGAAGATACTTGCACCCTTTATATATATATATATATATAGAGGAATGCTCAGGTCCATCTGGAGGGACGGGAGGCTCCGTCTGAACTTTACTGTTTGAGATGGTTCCCGGTGGAATTTTTTGATGAAATTTTTTGAGCATGTTTCTCATCAAGTCTAGTTTATCCATACTAAATTTCAGCTCAAAATTCGACCAGGAAGGTATTCAAATAAATTCTTGAAACATACTGCACATTATATGTGTGCAGAATGTGCAGTATGTTTCAAGAATTTATTTGAATGCCTTCATGCCTTCCCGATCGAATTTTGAGCTGAAATTTAGTATGGATAAACTAGACTTGATGAGGAACATGCTCAAAAAATTTCATCGAAAAATTCCACCGGGAACCGCCCCAAAAAGTGAAGTTCAGACGGCTGTTTCCGTCCCTCCGGAGGGACCTGAGCATTTCTGATATATATATATATATATATATATATATATATATATATATATAGAGAGAGAGAGAGAGAGAGAGAGAGAGAGAGAGAGAAATCTTCCGGTCAGGCCTTCCTGACCAGATCGCCGTCCGGATGGCGGCATTTGGGGCCTTTTCCGGTCGAACTTTTTGATGATATTTTTATGGCATGTTCTTCATAAAGTCTAATTTATCCACACAAAAATCCAGCTTAAAATTCAATCGGGAAAGCTGTCAAATGATTTTTGAAAGGTATCTGCGCTCAAAATATACATATAAAACACAGTTAACTTCCAAAAATCATTTGACAACCTTTCTGATTGAATTTTTAACTGATTTTTTTGTGGATAAACTTATTTGGGAGCTGCCGTGCAGGCTTGTCTGATAAAAATATACTACCTTCGTGGCTTCGTCCCAAAATTAGCTTCTCATTTCAAATTACGACGCTTGACTGACGATAAGACAACTTAATCTATGTTTATACTCAAATTATTTTTAGTAAATTAAATTTAAACATTCAGAAAATACATTAAAACCCCTATAAAGCTTGATAAAAATGTAAATTTGATAAGAATCCTATAAATAAAGCAAAAGATTAAGAGTAATTTAAGTCAACCATGTGAGTGAATGACAAATTACTTTTGGGGACAGAGGGAAGCACAAAACAAAAAGAAACAATGAAAGATGTATGAATGTATTTTCTGCCGGTCTTTATGAATTTCCATTCCATAAATTCAACTGCTGTTTGAAACTACTTGGTCAAAATCTACCACACTTCTGACGTTTTTTTTCTTCAGATTTACGATTTTATTGATATTGGACATTATCCCACTGACCCCGAAAAACTAGTGTATTATAAAAACTAGTATATTCAAATGGGATGGTTCCGCCGCATTAATGCTTGGTTTTGCGAGTTTATCATCATAACTAAATTGCTCGTTGGATACCAAATTAAGATTTGAGATTTGCTCATTAAATACGAAATTGAGATTTGTGATTTCTTCCAAATTTTCTTCTACATGTAGATTTTATAGTTTTTATTTAGAATTCTCCCAGTGAAGCTCTTCTTCTATATGAATACGATTTCTCTGCAAATTTGATTCAGTTTCATGCATCTTCTTGAGATTTACACATACAAGAGATTATTTGAAAAAATTAAAGTATTGTTTTTGTGTGTGGAAAAACTGAAATTCTAACCGATTTAGATGTTAAAGATATAAGTTATCACTTCACGAAAATTGAAGGGCATCTATAGTCCAGTTGAAGACTTGAAGGGGAAACATAGAAGTGCAACTCTACCCAAATTATTAAAACTGAAATTTATATAATAAAAAAATGCTCAAGATCATAATCCTTGCAGTTTTGATGAGAAACATATTACACCACACTCCAACAGGTCGGGACTCGGGATACTTGATTTTTCAGTTTCTTTGGTCTTCAAGTCAAGCATAAACAAATGAATTCGACTTTAGGCACTTCAAAACCAAGGAAGAATATCAAATGTTTTGTTTGTATGATTTCCTATTTCGTCGCAATTTTATTTAAATATTTATAATAAATGAATATCTTAATATCTTTACAGTTCTATTTACATTTATAATACATAATTAATTATTTTCAAAAACACTTTAAAAAACACTAAAGGACTGGCTAGAACAACAATTGGGAATATAATACGGACTCAACTCTAAACCTCATCGTTTGGTTACATTGGCACTTTCAAAATCAATTCATGCACATCTCTTGGACATTCTATAAGAGTTTACATCTTTTGAAGAGATAAAAATGCTATCATCTTAATGGTTTCATTTATTTTCAGCGTTTTTTATTTCAAAATTTGAGCTCTAGTCAAGGTGTTGATCGAGAGAATGTTAGGTTTCTTAATTTAATACAAATGTGAAGAGATTTAATTTTATTTGTAAATCCTCTGACTGACTAGATACTAACTAGATGCATGTAAGAATTTAGTAGTGTTCTGTAACTTTTTTAAATTGATTCACGCATAACAAATGTGGCCTTGAATGCTCTCAACTCTCAAGTTGTAATGGAGTATCTACTTGCATCAGTTGCATGCGTTAGTACTCAATTTGAAACTTGAAATTAAGAGTTCCTTGGTAAACATATTAGAATATCTCATAGAGGTTGCTACTTCAATGATTTTTTATCGACGTTTTTTTTTATAATAAAAGACATTGTGTATTTTGTAGAAAACAAACTTTTTTATTAGAGAAAAGTGTCAAATTGGCCCTCGTACTTTGTACAGAAAGACAATTATGCCCCCGTACTTTAAGTTTCGTCGATTACGTCCTCCTACTTTGCAATTTTTGTCAAAATCAACTTTAGCAGGTAACCAGCCGGTCAGCAGGTTACCTGCTGACGTGGCGCACATGTGGCGCAGACGTGGCAAGCCACATCTGTTTTTCCATTTCTTTTTCACTTTCCTTTTCTTTTTTTCTTCTCCCCCTTTCTTTCTTTCTATCTTTCTCTTCTCCGCCAACCTTTCTCTTCCTCACTGGACTCGCCGGCATGAACTGTATTCGCCAAAATGGAGTGTGGTTAAAAAATTAAACGAAAAATATGAGGAGGTGCACCTGTTCACGGCGACCTCCTTGGCATGTTTTAATTTTTGGGTCGAGCGCCAAAGTCACTGGAAAAAATGCCGGGCGGGTCCACAAAATGAGAAATTCCGACCAACTGTAAACAGGCCCCCAAATCTCGTCCCCAGCTCCTCAAAATCGATATGGAGTGTCGTTCCTAGCCAACGAATTCCAATCTAGTCTCAAAAATGAATAAAAATAGCCCACATTTGAGTTATGAGCAAATAATCGATCTTCCAATAAATGGTGTTTCTTGCTCTGACCGTTGGCAGTGAAAAAAAGAAAGCGGAATGGGAGAACTGGAGAAGGAAATAAAGAAAGTAAGATGGAGCTTGAGGTCTTTTTTGTAGGGGAGATGAGGAGGCTGGAGGAAGTAGACGTACGGGTTGGGTCTCTGCGAAAGGGGAAATGGGAAAAGAAAAAGAAAATGAAAAAAGAAAAGAAAAAAGAAAAGCTAACGTGGCTCGCCACGTATGCACCGTGTCAGGCGACGTGTGCCGATGTGCTCCACATCAGGAGGTAACCTGCTGAGTGCTAACCGGCTGGTTACTTGCTAAAAGTAGGCATGGACTCAACCGGGTCCGGTCCCGAGTCGAGCCTAGGCCCGGCCGGGCCAAAAAAAATTAAATGAGGCCTGGGACCGGCCCGGCCGGGCCAAAAAAAATTAAATGAGGCCCGGGACCGGCCCGGAGGTTGACCGGTGCCGGTCCGGGCCCGGGCCGGGCCGGGTTGGGTTCGTTTTTTTTTTTGTTTTTTTGTTTTCTTGATTATTTTATCCACTACCCCCATCCTCCCCATCCCACAAACCCATCTGAAACACCCATTCCAGCCCATTTAAACCCAGCCCAAAGCCCCAACAAAAAAAAAACAAAAAAAATTGAAAAAGCCCGAACCGGGACCGGCCGGGCCGGTTCTCATTTCCTTCAGCCCGTACCCGCCCCGCTTACCCCCTACAAACCGGGCCTAGACCCAGAACCGGTACCCGGTTCCTGGGCCGGGCCCAAACAGTGCCGGGCCGGGCCGGGTGGCCCTAACCGGGTCCAAGCCTAGCTAAAAGTTGATTTTGACGAAAATTGCAAAATAGGAGGATGAAATTGACAAAACTTAAAGTATGGGGACATAATTGACTTTCCATACAGAGTACGAGGGGCAATTTGACGCTTTTCTCTTTTTATTATTGATAAAGTGAATAAGAACAATACAATCATGTAGCTGAGGGCTACAATGAAATGAAAACAAGCTCCCTAATCTCGAGATTAAGTACTCTTCAATGTTCGTTCAATCTGCTCCTATTCTCCTAATACTAAGGCAACAAGATAGAAAAGAATAATTTTATATTCCGTATTAGTGTGAGAATGAAAAACAAGATGCTTGATTTTACCAACCACAGAGAAGGAACCGTATTGGCGGTTTCACCATCCACCGCAAGGAAGCAAAGAGATTTTTTAGTTGACCATCCACAGTCCACCAAGGCACCAATACAGGAATTCGTAAAGATAACCGTTCTATTATTTATAGACACACACACACATATAACAGGTTTGCATTCAATATGAAATCGCAAGTTGAATCGCAAATAAGACTGAACAGTTTGGCTCAATTATGATAGGCTTGTTGGTCAGTTTAATACTGGCAGTTTCTTGGATCAGCCCTGGTGGCTAGGCTGGGAATTTAGAACAACCATTGTGAGCATCATGAAACGATATGAGTAAGAAATTTCTACATGTAAGTTCATGTGAGAGGGAATTCCACAACTTTGAACTCAACATATCACCCATTTGATGTAAATTCAATCATGTAATTCAATGACGTTGTGCAATCAACTAAGCCCCATGATCAATAACCAAATGTGCTTTTGAAACCTCATGTGAAGTGATTATACATTTATATGACTAATCCAATTGTGTTCTGAGGTGCTTAATCAAAATGACTAAAGTCTGAAGGTGATACAATTTGAATGGGGATGCCAAAACTCGCATTCAGAATAAATTATCTCTTAGCCAGCTACTGAATTCACATGTTTATGTTTCTTCTTCTTGACAGAAAGTGGATCTGGGTTCTGACATGCAAAATACAAGGATTAAAACACACATTTATTAAGGTTGCACACAAAAAAAGCGAGGACTTTACTTGACAACATAATCAAGCCATTTATAGAATATGTTAGTGTATAGATGATTTTACGAAAACCATTTACCATTTCAAAAAAGCTTTTATATCGCCAACTGGTAAAATGGTTTAACACATTATAAGTTAAGAATTTCTGAATACCATCATATCAACAGGCAAAACCATCAGTCATCTACAACTTTGAGCTCAACATTTCACACATTTGATGTTAAATTCATTAATGTAATTTATTGACGCCGAGCAATTTACTTAACACTGAGAAAAATAACCAATGTGCTTTTGAGACCTAGAGTGTGTTGGTTTTACATTTATATGATTAATCCATTTGTGTTCTGAAGTGATTAATCAAAATGACTCAAGTCTGAAGGTGATACAATTTGAATGGGATTCCAAAACTGGCATTCAGAATATATTTACCTTTTCTGAGGCAGCTACTGCATTCACATGTTTAGGTTTCTTCTTCTTGACAGAAAGTGGATTTGGGTTCTGACATGCACAATACAAGGAATAAAACACATAGTTAATAAAGGTTGCACACAAAAAAGCGAGGACTTAACTTGACATCATATTCAGGCCATTTATAGAATATCTAAGTTTATGGATGATTTTACGAAAAACATTTACCAATTCACAAAAGCTTTTATATTACCAGCTAGTAAAATGGTTTAAAACATTACTCCCTCCGTCCCGTTAGAAGGTTTCCACTTTCTTTTTTTGGACATCCCATTAGAAGGTTCCCATTTCCATTTTAGGAAACAATTAATAATCTTAAGTGACAAATTAGTCATTAAATATTAAAAATAATACATTTATAACATCACAGTTATCAATACTAACACATTATAATATATACCTATTAAAATTATTTCTCAAAATATACCCGAAGTACTTTATTTAATTATCACCTAAATAACCGTGCCATTTTGCTATGAGAACCTTCTAGCGGGACGGAGGTAGTATTAGTTAAGAACTTCTTAATCCCATCATATCAACAGGCAAAACCATCTGTCATCATGCAATCAACTTTTCTAGAAATTATCTCCCATTTATATTGTATGTATTGTTGGGATATGTTTGGGATTAGGATAACTTCATGGAAATAAAATAGGGGAAGAATTGGAAGGAAAAAAGTTGGGGGAAAACCAGGTTTGGACCAAAGTCAATAATAAATCAATGTTAGATATTTGTTCAAACTCGTTAAATTTATATAATAATTCTATTATAAGAAGATTAAGAAATGTAAATAATTGTATTATAAATTAAAAGTTCAATCAAATTGTTTTTCGGTTTTTTCAAGATAAAACAAATGTAACAAAAATCTTTAGCGCTTTTTCCTTTTTTGCGTTCTGTTCCATGTTCTAAACATAGCATTAAAACATATGCCTTGTGATGTATTTTATTGTATAAAGCCTTAAAACCAATAAATCCTTTTTAACCAATAATTTTTAAAAGAAAATATTATTCATGATAATTGATATAGTCTTTCTCTTCACCTTTACTAGGTTCCACTTTTCTTTTATGGAAGTTTAATACTCCCTCCTTCCCGAAATTAAGTTCCACCTTTTCTATTCAGGATGTCCCAAAATAAAGTTCCTACTTCAATTTCTTTCGATTTGTGGTATGTTTTTATTGTTCATTTACTCCTTTACCCTTGCATACCTTTATTGAATTGATGTCTTTAACCCCATTTCACTATTTATTTACTGCATTATTACCCATTCAGTTACTACATTTTTAATACCACAAGGGCAACTTTGGAAAGTCAACTTTGTTTTCTATCCAACCTAAAAACCAATGAAGTCAAACCAGGAAGTTAATTTTGGAACGGATGGAGTATTACTTGATCAATCTTCCATTTTATTGCAACATTTCCTATGTTCCCATCACCCAAATGAAGGAGTTCTCCCTTACTTTTTATCTTCTATTTCCCATTTTTCACTACCCAAAAAATTACTCTTAGTTTCTATGAAAACCCTAATCGAGAGACTCCAAGTGAACGGAATTATGGAAATAGTTCACATGTCCTACCTTGGCTTTCTTTCTTTTAAATTGAACTTTATCATCCTTGATGTTGCTTCGTTTTCTTTCACCATCCATCTTGACACTCTTGACCTCTAAGTCATGGCCTGTCTCTTCTCCACTTCCATTAGAGGCATCAATAGCATTGTGGTCAGAAAACTTCCTCTTTTTCTTAATGTTTAGAGCTTTATACTCTTTCTCAGTCATATGTGAACGCCCTTCTTCGGCCATCTTGGCAAACTTCTGTTGAAAAGTGGAAGGCCGTTCAAGAAACAAAGCATTCCTAAGTGCATAAATTAAAGGAACGCCAGGTATCTGCCACCACATCAATGAAAAATGGTCAAAACAATCAAAGCGATGCTAACACTTTCATAGTGGGAGTACCCAAGAATAAGAAAATAACTTTAAGGATCCATTTTTGGAGCCATGCAAGGAAATCTTTAACCATCTCGAATGCTGGAAATACTAGGAATAGAAGGCAGAAATAAAGAGGAAGACTGAAAGGAAAGGAAATTTGGGAGAAAAAAAGGACAAGACTCAATCTCAATAAATCTATTTTGGAAAGAGTGATCACAACAATCCTAACTCTGTGCGCTCCACTTTTATTAATCTCAACTACTGATTTTTTGTGTACAGTCCCAGCTATGGGATCCATCTGCCAATAATGATCACCCTAACCGACAATATGTTCCTCAACTTAATAAAAAACAATTAGTTAAAAGTCTTATAATCATCTAAACTATGTTTGATCGACTTTTATCAAATTCCAAACATGAATATTAGTTCCTTATTGCTCCAGTTGAAAATAAAACTCATGGCAACACACATCTTTATTAGGATTAACATTCTCCATTTCTACACCCATCATCAAACTTCATATGTCAATACTTATACATATTTCATATACATATATCAGACATTGTTAAAGTATGTAATTTATCCGTTTGTGTTACAGGAGTAAAATGCTTGAAATATCCACAAATAAGGAGATGCATTCATATATATTTTGTAAATTTTAATACGAACATACAAAATCGGTTAAAGATATTTCATTCTATAAACTGCAGCCTGGAGAAACGTCACTAAATATATATAGATAAATACGCGGATTGAACAATGAATATTTTATCATGTCTGGAAATTTTTTATAATAATAATAAACTATACTTCTCAGTAAACATATTTGAGAAATATCTATACAAATACCGTTACTTCACTAAAATATTGTATTTTATATAATAGTCGGTAATATTCTACATAAGGTTTTCATAAAAGATACTCTGTACATGATAAGAAGATAGGTACTCAGTTTGAAAAACTAAAAGAAAAATGTTGGAGAAAAATTGAGGGAGAAGGGTGATATGAAAACACATAAAGAAAATAGCTTATTTGGCGATTTTTAACTCAAAACATGAGGTAATGAAGATATATTTTTATTAACTTAGAAAATAATATGAAACATATGAAGTTGAAAGAGAAGCAAAGAAATAAATGATACTACCTCCGTCCCCCTAATATTGGGACGGAATAGGAAGTGATGTGATTTTTTAGAAAAATAGAATTATGTGGTTGATAATGAGTTGATAAAGTGGGAATAAAGTAAGAATGAATTAGAGCCACACAAATGTTACCAGATATGGTATGGGACAATAATAGAGGGACATCCAAAAATGAAAAAATGGGACATTTAAAGGGGGACGGAGGGAGTAGTTGGTATTAACAACTGAACATAGTTCAGGTTACTTAAAGAGCACATTGAATTCTCATTTTAAAAGTAAATGGTTATTGTCAGTTATGACGGATTTGGGAGCACTATTGGCAAACGTATACCTTAGTTATGGTTATACAATTAAGAATGGGCTAAATAAAAGTAATCGCGAATAGTTAGGATTATTGTAACATTTCCGATGTTTTTTAATTAGCTGAAACTCATTGTTAGTCTAAGTAGTTTACTCGCTACTCGGTAGTAACTCGGTCAAGGGCCGAGTAATGAGTAGGACCGATTACTCGGGATTACTCGGTGATTACTCGGTCCTGTATTAATTAAATTTAATAATATAGTTGCCAGATATTTAGAAATATAATAGTCTTAAAATAGTCTTAAAATTGTTTTAAAAGCATAGAAATGAATAAAAAGATACAAATCCTATTATCCTAATGATGGAGTAGCAAAAGTCTTAAATATTCCAAGTTTTCAAAATTTAAATTTTATAAGTGATCAAAATTTAATGTCTATTGTTGAAATTGAATTTATAGGGAGTATGAGGGCGTTAGTCCAACATAAAGCAGGATGTCTACTAGACTACTTATATTATTCAAAAGTATTTATCAGTTTAGTCCAAGAAGTCATGCATTGGATACTATAAAGCAGGATGTCTACTAGACTACTTATCCAATATGAAAGCTTACCGAAAACAAGAACCAAAACTATCCAAGAAGGCATGAACATACATGACTAAGAGAGGGGGGAAGAAGAAACCATAAGTGAAGAGGTGAAGTTATGAGAGAAAGAAGAGTTACTAGCCGATGTCGCAGTCTCAACTTCAAGGGATAGCAGATGTCGCGCGACTCCAAGAGAGCCGATGTTGCAGTCGGAGACTTGGAACTCCGTTATTTTTTTGTTTTAATTTAGGATTTCTAACCGTAGTGCTTCAATTTAAAAAAAAACGAGTAATGTCGAGTACTCGCCGATTTCCGATGTTGACCGAGTAGCAAAACTCGCCGAGTACTCGGCGAGTAACTCGGAAAATTAACTCGGACCGAGTTAAGTTGCTAATCGGCAAGGTAAGGACCCGAGTTGCGAGTACTCACCGAGTACTCGCCGAGTACTCACCGAGTAGATAACCCAGTTGTTAGTTATTTTGGAAGTATTTATTTGTACTACATTATCACGAAGAAAGCTAAACACTTGTTAAAAGATGAACATATTTCGTTTTCTTTGGCGATTTGTAGAAATAAAACCAAACATAAAAAAGTAACTTTCCTTAGCATTATTTTCCCCTTCCCTAAGACTTACTCGCATCCAAAAATACCCTATACAATAAGATTTTTACACAAAATAGAATACAAAGTTGAAGCACCTGCATAAGATTTTTCCTTAGATCAGCATCTTGTGTAGCAACAAAAAAGTGTTCAGGATTGTCTTCTCCAATGATCTCTGTTATGCAAGCTACAGCACTTCTCCTGCTCTCGTGATCACATCTGTTACAATGATAGACGGGATTTTAGGTACACTAAATTGTATCATATCTATACACACACAAAATCTTCAAGTCGGATGTCATTAGTCATTCTATAATTCAGTTGGCATATGTTTGGAATTCAGAATATGCAGGGGATAATAATCAAATTTGTTTTAAATGCCTGGTTTCATCTAGAAAAAACGGAACAAGGTTTTATAAATTTTGTAAATGTTGAAGCATATATTATACTACCTCTGTTCTTAAATAAATGCAACAATCAACTTATCACGTTTGCCGATGCACAACTTTGACCATTAATATATTTAATTATCTATTAGTAAAATAAATAAATTATTTATTTAATATATTGAAAATTTACAATGAGATAAATTTAACAATATTTTTTTGAAATAAATTATTAAGGCATTAATAAATAAAATGTAATCAAAGTATAACATGTGAATAGTGCAAAAATCAACATGTTGCATTTATTAAAGAACATAAGTAGTACTCCCTCCGTCCTCCTAAGTTTGGGACGGAGGGGTGTGGTGTGGTTTTTAAGAAAAAGTGGAATTGTGTGGTTGGTATTGAATTGATAAAGTGTAAATAAAGTAAGAATGAATTCTAACCACTCAAATGTTACCAAATATGGTATGGGACAAACTTAGTGGGACGGACGAAAAAGGTAAAACGGGACAAACTTAAGGGGACGGAGGGAGTATATGTTATCCCTTTGATATACTACTTGTGGAGTTGTTGTCCTTCATGTGTTATCCTTCATCCCTTCACTAAGTTGTCATTTTCATTAAGAAATTCACATCTTCCTTTCATATTGTAACAATATATATTTGGGTTTATTAGAAATTTAGAATTTATTATATAGTAATAGCATTTTAATAAAATGAGTTTGAACATATACATAAAATCGATATGTTGAAATTTGAAGCAACTTTTTTGTTTTCCCCTGCATTTCACTCCCTTCCAAATTTCAACTCTATTTTGTTTCCACAGCATTTTCACAGTTCCAAAGAAACAGTTGGGTTTTATAAGGGAGGCTCCGTTTATTTGTGGGAATATAAGTTCTTGGAAAGGTTTTAGTGTGTTTGGCACATTAAACTCATGATTCTTTGAGTTTTCATGGAAAACGACTTTCTGATTTGATAATGGAAAGTCATTTTTCAAAATAATGTTTTCGTTTTCTATTTTAGTAGGTAAAAAAATTAAATTCCCTCCGTCCCATTTTGAGCTTCTCACTTGTCTCTTTTGGATTTTCCCATCATTTACAATGGAGCCACAGACCCACTATTTTTTTTGGCTTTAGAATATGATGGAAAAAAAGAAAAATGGCTCACTACATTGTCTGTCTGTCTGCGCTTCTTTGTTATGAAGCGGCAGTCAGTCCATGCAATTTTCAATGCGATTTTCACTATGGGTCAGCCGGAAACAATCTCTTTGTGCTTTGGTACAGGGGTAAGATTGCGTACATGCAACCCTCCTTTACCCCATCGTAGGTCTCATTTCTATTCTGGTAAATAATTAGCACTTTTAATTGACAATTTAATCATCAAATATTAAAAATAACGCACCTATAACATCACAGTTATCATCAATTAACTGATTATATATACACCCATCAAAAGTACTTCTCAAAATATACTTGAATAATCTTATTTAATTAATGTCTAAATAAATGTGCCTTTTTTTAATGACAATGTTAAACTGGAATGGAGGTGGTAATATTAGATGAACAAACCTATCATTTTTTTTCATTTTCATTTACCCCAGTGCCGCAAAGGCTCCCACCTACGGTGGGGTAAGGGGGGGTCGGATGTACGCAGTCTTACCCATGTACTAAAGCAGAAAGAGACTGTTTCCGGATGACCCATAGAGAACATCGCGTCCAAAATTGCATGGACTGACTGTTGCTTCATAACAAAGAAGCGCAGACAGTTTAGTGAGCCATTTTGCTTTATTCTATCATATTCTCAAGCCAAAAAATAATGAATCTTTGGCTCCGTTGCAAATATATTCCAGTTTTTTCTAGGAAAGCCTTTCAACATCACATTACTTTCCTGAGATCAAACCAAACATTATTATCACTTGAACAGATTTACCTTGCAGTTAAAAGACTACGGGCTGCATTGAGTGATTCGGAGTAAGAGGTCCCAAGTCTCTTCAATTCTTCAACAACGCATCTGTAAACCAATACATTAAAAAGAAAATTGAGCAGAAGAGGTAACTAAAAATTACTTTCTCAATAGACAATTTCTTTCATGCAGACCTGGTGGTAAAAAGTTTAACAGTGGCACCAAGAGTATTAGCGAGTGAAGTATCAGCAGGAGTGATTCGATTGGAAATCAAATGGTGCACAAAAGTTCCATCACAAAGAATTTTATACGGCTCTCTGAAACCAAAACAAGCTGCGTAAAACCTGACTGCTCTCCTATGGCGCTTCTGCTTTTTCACTTTCATCTTTGACAAATCAGAATTCTGAAGAGTTGGAAAGATTTCAATTCATTCTTTTCCAGCAAACTCTTTAGAGTGAAGAGCAATTGGCAAAATCCATTCACTGCTCAACTGATAACCAAAATCAGAGCACAAAGTTAGTTCACAGTGCCAGCATATTGGTTGGTCATTAAATTGCAGCTTATTACAACTCCTTAATTTAGAAAATTATTCATCGTTTAAATGAAAGAACATGTAAAAAACGAACCTCAACAACACCCTCTAACTATCTAAGCTTGATCTATTCACTGCTGATAAAATAAAATAAGATATGTAGGAACAAACCAAACAAGATGAGATAAAATAAGAAGACAAATAGTAATAATCGACTAACCTCAGGACGAACGGCGTGGTGTAGACTGCGTCTGGCCCAAGGAGAAGAGGTCAAGAGGATATGGAAACGGAGAGAGCACTATAGTATAGCGTACGACCGTCTGGCTGCGAGTTGAGCAGTTGGTCAGACGAATTGGACCGGATCAAACACTTTGGGCCAATTTTGTAACATTGAAATGAGTTAAAGGAATACCCCTATGTAAAAAATGTTAAATTTTGACTGATTATATATTAATATGATAATATGAAAATAATATGAAAATATTCTTTGTTAAAATACTATCATGATTTAAATTTAAATGTTTTACATAAATATAGTAGTTAAAATGATTAATCAATATTTATCATTTTTTACTGGAAAAGTCAAAGATGACTAAATAAAAAGGGACATAAATAGTATAACTTAGGGGGAATTTGACTTGACACTTCACATTTTTTAGGATGTTATGTTTTGCGTTGAATTTCAAAAAAAAAAATCACCCATCATTTTAACAATGGTTCACTTTAATATAATCCAATTCGATCAATTGTGTTCCAACCTATTTTAGGGTGTGTTTCTAGCTGCTTCTACTTTTAAAAAGTGATTTTTTAAGTGATTTTGGGAGAAATGCTTAATAGTAAAAATTGGTACTCTCTCCGTCCCGCTCAAGTTGTCCCAGACACTATTCTCTTGGTCAACACAAATCACTCTTAATCTCTTACTTTAAATATCGATTTTTTTTTATCAAATTTGATTCTGATTTTTGCGACTTTGTAAAGTTTTTAATGCAGTTTCTGAATATGTGATTTATTTTTCCTAAAAATAATTTGAGTGCATCGTAAAACAGAATTGTCGGTCAAACATCGTAAGCCGAATTGTCCCAAACATAGTGAGACGGAGGGAGTAGTATTTAAGAAAAAAATGCTTATGAAAAAGTAAAAGTTGGTAATGTACGTATGGTAAAGTAAGTGTTTTTTGTATAATAGAAAAAATAAAAGCGATTTAAAGCACCACTTCATATGCTTCATCTTTTATCCTTTAAGTGCTTAATTTAAGTAGAAATTATCACTTGAGAACACTAATTGCTAGAGTATGACGCTAGCAAGTAGAGACATGAGTGCTCAAGTGGCAGAGGCAGCTGCCAACCGGGTTCGGTCACGTCATCACTCCACCTACCCCCTCTTAGTATAAATAAATGCATTGAATACATTGCAAAGAGTTAGCATTTTGAGACTCAGAACCTTAGAATAGTTTTTCACTTTAGTTCTTGTATTAAGCACTGTACTGACGTATCGTTTGGGTAGTCCCCGTGTTACCGTGTAATCAGAGTATTACTAAGTACAAGATGGGCTTTCTGAGTTAACATTATTCATCTTTTATATTTCGCACACCTTTTTAACCAAGACCTACGTCCTTAGTATCCAAAGCGTGTGTTGGGCTTTCAGATCTACGTCCTTAATATGTATATCATTGTTCGTGAATAATTTTAAGTTTTGAGATTATTCAAAATTTAATGGTAAGAGTAATGTGGCAATTAGGTGTACTGGAAAACTCATTTATTTGAATAGCATGAATGGAGATGCTCCTAATTTCTCCTGTTTAAAATTGTTTTTAAATGCAATAAAAAAAGATTCTATATCGTTGTAACTATACTTAACTATACTTAGGGGGTGTTTGGAAATTATTTTGCTTCTTCTTTTTTAAAGCAGAACCAGGGTCACACTCAGTTTTTAAAAGTTGGTCTACCAAGTCTCTAAAAAATAGGTTGCTAAGAGTAAATTAGAGCACGAGAAATACTTTTGTACTTTCATCTTCTATTTATGCTCTCTTAAAAAGTAGAGAGCAGAATTAATGAATGAAGTAAAAAAAATGTTCGAACAGTCATAGGGGGTGTTTGGAACTAATTCTGCTTATGCTTCTTTTTTAAAGCGGAAGCAGAATTAGAATCAGTTTTAAGAAGCTGGTCACCCCCAACTTCTAAAAAAACTGATTCTGGGAGTAAATTAGAGCACCAGAATCACTTCTGCACTTTCACCCAAACACTCCAACTTCTTATTCTGCTCCTTCAAGGAGCAGAAGCAGTTTTAAGAATCGGATCCAAACAACCCCATATATTCATATAAATAAATATTTTTTTTTTGATAACTTATAAATAAATACTTTGATGACCTGTAATTTGACATAAAAAAAAGCTTCATAATTGTTTAAAATTGCTTACTATTATTGCTTAGTTCAGCCGTTCAGGTGGTTGTTTCCGCATTTTCCATTGTTGCAGACTCAAAAATCTCAATCTTCGCCAGTCACCACGTCTAGTTGAGTGCTCTGCGGGATTCCTCTTTCTTCTTCCGCACTTCAATAATTCTCAACGCCTCTTATGCTTATTAATTAGATACGGATGCTCCCTTATCTGGAAAATTTAGCTGATCACCAACCAGAGCTGATCGGGTAATTATGGCAACAGTGAAGTCGTCTAGGTCAAGAACGCATGCGGCCGTGACGCCGGCAAAATATGCCAACAGAGACACGGGTACGAAGCTGGAGGAGAAACTCACCGTCTTCAATTCCGACAGTTTCGACGCCGATAGTTTTGTCCAATCGAAGTGCCATTCCTTGAATGAAAAGGCCTGTTTTTTTGCACTATAACGTTAAGTGGTTTTTAAATTGTCATTTTGATGGATAGAATTCAGCATCCCCCATTCGGTTGTGCATGTTGATGAATTAACCGAGCTTTCCACCTTGCATATGGCTTAACTGCATTGTTTCTGTATGTATATCTGGAAAGTTCGTTATCAGTTAATATGATTTATGAGTGCCCTGGAATGTTGCAAATAAATAAAACTTTTTGAGACAGTATAAATCTGTGTGTTAAGCTCATAAACTACCCTGCGGTTATATATCCAGCCTGGTTCCTGCAGTTTTATTTTTATTTTGAGAAGAATCTGTAAGCCTGTAAGTATATAGTGGCGGGCTGGCTGGCTATGGGGATTCTATATATTCATCATGCATGAAAGTTGATATTATAATGGCTTTCTGTTTGCAGGAGATTAGGCAGCTATGCTCCTCTCTGGTGGATCTGAAAAAGGCCTCTGCTGAGGAAATGCGCAGGAGTGTTTATGCTAACTATACAGCTTTCATTCGGTAAGTTATTGTTAGTTTTTGTTTACACCCGCTTTCTGTAGGAAACATAGATGAACCAAAAATTACCTTCCAAACTGAACTTTTAAAAAGTGTATATGACACTAGCGAGAAAATTCTTTGCAGGAACTAAGAGCCCGTTCGGTAAGCATGTTTTCAGCTTATCGGGCTTATCAACCAACTTTTTCACCAAACACGTAACTTTTGATTTCGATTGTGTAATAATAAGAAAAAGTAAGGTTGAAGTTACTTTTCTGGCTGTATTGGTTGAAGTTATCGTAGAGGACCATTTTAGCTATTTTACATACAATTTTTTCTTTATTTTATTAATAATATATACTAGTACAGTTTAAATATAATTTTTTCATAAATCAGCAAAATCAGCCATACAGTCTCTTTAGCAGAATTTTATAAATTTCATCATAATCAACCAATTCAGCCGATTTTGGTATTACTGAACGGGCTCTAAGAAATCAGTTCCTATGTTTCTGGATGGGTAATGATAAACTTTTCTTTCTATTTTTAGGTTATCATTCCCTGCAATAAGCACACACTCATTTCTACATTTCCTTTGTCCATTTTGCATTTGCAGCACATCAAAAGAGATTTCAGATCTTGAGGGTGAACTTTCATCAATGAAAAGGCTCTTATCTACTCAGGCTAATTTAATCAATAATTTAGCTGAAGGAGTGCATGTTGATTCTTTATCTGATACTAGTCCTTATAATGCCACAAATGACACTTTGAATGATAAAACAAGAGAACCTTCAGAAATAGAGGAATGGTTAGCTGATTTTTCTGATAACCTTGATGTTTTATTAGCTGAGAGGAGGATAGATGAAGCCTTGTCAAGCCTTGATGAAGGAGAAAAAATAGCTTTGGAAGCAAAACAAAAGAGTACACTAAGTCCCAGAGTCCTGTTGTCACTACAAACTACCATTACAAAACGTAGGAAAAAATTAGCAGATCAGCTTGCTGATATTGCCTTCCAAACATCAACACGTGGTGCCGAGCTTCGTGCTGCTATTGTAGCTCTCAAGAAGCTTGGAGATGGTCCTCGTGCCCATAGTTTACTACTCAACGCTCATCACAAGAGATATCAATACAATATGCAAAGTTTTCGTCCATCAAGCACAACATATGGAGGAGCATATACTGCAGCACTCTCACAATTGGTATTCTCTGCCATTTCCCAAGCAGCGAGTGATTCATTGACTATTTTTGGAAAGGAGCCAGCTTATACATCTGAGCTTGTCGTGTGGGCTAATAAGAAGACAGAGGATTTCGCTGTCCTTGTTAAAAGGCATGCATTGTCATCATCTGCAGCTGCTGGGGGCCTTAGGGCTGCTGCAGAGTGTGTTCAGATAGCTTTTGGACACTGCACATTGTTGGAAGCTCGGGGGCTTGCACTTTGCCCTGTGCTGTTGAAGCTGTTTAGGCCTAGTGTTGAGCAAGCACTGGAAGCCAATTTAAAACGAATTGAGGAGAGCACTTCTGCTCTAGCAGCAGCTGATGATTGGGAACTTACAAATCCTCCAAGTTCATTCCGCCAGTCTGCTATGTATCAACATAAACTTTCAAGTAGTGCCCATCGGTTTTACTTGATGGTTCAGGTAATTTTTTATCTTGATAACAAAAAATGCTCCAGAAGGGAACTAGGGAAGCCTTAGCACACCGGTGACTGAGAGGCCACGGGTTCAAATCTTGGGAGCAACCTCTTGTTAAAAATTTGACAGAGGAAGGCTTGCCTTATACACTCTTGTGGTGGGACCCTTCCCTGGACCCTCACCTTGTAAGGATGCCTTCGCGCACCAGGCTGCCCTTTATCACAAAAAATACCCCCTTTAGTCGCAAAAAGAGTCTTCCTATAGCGAGGTGTAATTTTTAATTTTTAAGTCAATCTAATCAAGGTACAAGCTGTTACAAATTATGTATGGTAAGTTATACCCCTAATACTTATTTCCTAGATTGTCTGGAGTGATTGACTAAAAGCGCCCACCTCTTGGCCATACAAGAATTTTACTTAAAATTTAAGTTGACTTTCAAAGCCAACTCTTTTTTGGGGACAAACAAAACAAAGTTCTTGAAACATTTTTTTTTTTGCGGCGGAGGGACTCAAAAATGTAAAACCCGGTGCACAAGACTCCAATTTGCGATTTCACGTAAACTCTAGGGGATGAAGATGCATACCAAGTCGCTTACTTACCCCTTTTGATGAAGAAAGATGGGAACTTAGGAAGTCCGTCTTCCCTATGATATACTGCTTGTTAGCATATAATTATGATGTTATTTTTTCTAATGGTCTGTTTTAGTCATATTGATCTTTTATTTGTCTGTGCAGGATTTCTTTGAGGATGTGGGGCCGTTAGTAAGCATGCAGTTGGGTGGAAAAGCGATGGACGGTTTGTTCGAGGTCTTCAATGCTTATGTGAACACGCTAATAAAAGCATTACCTGGTTCTTTAGAAGAAGAAACCGAGTTTGATGGTTTAACAAACAAAATTGTCCGGATGGCTGAGACTGAAGCCCAACAGATTACTTTGCTTGCAAATGCCACCTTATTAGCAGATGAGCTCTTACCACGTGCATCAATGAACCTTTCTTCTTTCAGTCAAGCCAATTACAAGGATGAGCATCAACTAAGGACTGATAGACAAAGTCGTCTTCCAGAGCAAAGGGAATGGAAAAAGCGCCTTGTGAGCACCGTTGACAAATTAAAAGATAGTTTTTGTCAATTGCATGCTCTTGAACTCATTTTCAATGAGGATGGTGATAGCAACCTTACCGCAGACATGTACATAAACTTGGATGGTAATGCGGATGAGATAGAATGGCTCCCTTCTCAAATATTCCAGGTATATATTTTTCCCAATTGTTCTCCATTATCCTATTTTTTGAGGTGTTACTTGAATACTTGTTTTAGTAGAATACCAACTTATGTGTATCGTTATCTGTATCTTCACAAAAACATTAAATATCCTCGTTATTTTCCTCTCATTTTTTCTATTTGCATGTTTTTTGACTGGTAAATTTCTCATTTGACATTTCACTTTTGTGAATACACCCAATTTTTTGTGGAATCATCAGGGGCTCTTTTTAAAGCTAAACACGATAGCTTCCATAGCTGCAGATATGTTTGTTGGACGGGAAAGGTTTGCAACATTGTTATTGATGAGACTTGTAGAAACTGTTATGTTGTGGCTCTCCCAAGACCAGAGTTTTTGGGATGATATTCAAGGACCAAGACCTCTAGGGCCTGTTGGTCTTCAGCAGGTTTATATAATTCATACTACATACCTAAGCTTTTGTATGGTTCTACTAAAGGCAGAATGTGTGCGACAAATACATGCATACAGAATTTTACTCTTTCTTTTTTAATTCTTTGCAGTTCTATTTGGATATGACATTTGTCAGATACTTTGCTTCACAAGGACGCTACTTTTCTAGGAATTTGAACCGCATCGTTGGTGATATCAGAAGTAGGGCAGTATCAGCGTTTTCTTCAACTGGGATGGATCCATTGAGGTATGCACACAATTTACTCTATAAAAATCCACACTTTCACTTTATTAGCTTAGTTAATGCATATGATCATTTCTGGATTTTTAGACTTGTGGGATACTTGCTCCTTTCAATCACTAACTAATAAAAACTATCACGTGACTGTAGAGTACTTTAGTTCCATAACTTTTTCTAGCATACACGAATGTTCTGAAAATAGCTAGGGAGCTACCGGAGCATGATATAAATAGAATTAGACGGGGTCAATTTGGGAAAGCAATATAGTTGACCACATGATGCCTAGAGTTTGCCTATGCGGGGAATTTTAGAACAAGATTACACTCACCTCAACCAACTCCGAATGACCGAATGTCTTAGTCAACCTAGCTTACTGTAACATGTATGCAAGTGCAATTATGATTTAGAAATGAAATCATTCTTTTTAGTATTTGCATGTTAACCATTTGTATTGGCAGTGTGCTTCCAGAAGAGGACTGGTTCACTGATATTTGTCAAGATGCGGTGGATAGGCTGAGTGGAAGGCCTAGAGTTGCCAACGGGGAAAGAGATTTGAACAGCCCCACAGCTTCTGTCTCAGCACAGTCGATATCATCTGTGAGATCTCATGGGAGTTACTAATGAGAATGTGGTCTTTGGACCGTTGTAATGTATGTCCGTTGTAATGTTTATATGAACATATTCATTGCTTCTAGGATAGCAATGCTATTCATAGTAACGAAAAAGTTGCACTCATTCATGTGTTCTTGCTCTAATCTTGTTTGACTAGGATTGCTCTGCTGTAAATGCTAGGTAATGTGAAAAGCGACATGTTTGGACAGGTTTGATAACACTGCTGCATCAATTTTTTTTCAAGAAGCTGATAATTTCAAGAAAGACTTTACATGTTTTACTGCACTAATCCAAAATGCAGGAAAACAAGAGGAAATGGTTTAAAGCATGAAACATTCAGTAATACCCCTCCGAAGGCTTGATCAATGAAATAATCAGACTGGAACAATGCAATTTAGGATTTCTTTAAGGTTATTCAATGTTGCAGAATAAAAGGGGTACTTTCCGGAATTGTTAACAAAGTATTTGCATAGAAACCAGTTTACTGACTCTGAAGATCACCTTTCAGTTCATGAATAGATCTATGTGTTATACAACTACAACATATTTTAAGTACATGATGTACATGATGCCTTGTCATTAAAGTCAAATGAAAAATTAAGGGATCCCTATTCTGTACATGTAGAGAAGAGTGGGATTCATTAATCTAATTACAAAACTTACAAACTGTTCTGTAAATGTGTTTGTAATGAGTACTTTTCTTTTCTTGTTCCGGGCCAGTTTGTTTGGGGGATTTCAGAGGAGAGGGAAAGGGATGTGTCTTATGTAAATTTAAAATAATTTTTACATTTAGAAAAAATTGAAATAAAGCAAAGATACAACAGTATATAAAATACATGGTCTAAGACTCTAAGTAATTATATAGTTATTATTTGTAGTCAAAAACTAACAAATCAATATATATAAGAGGAATTTTTTAAGAGCATACAAAGCGCCACATAATCCTGCCATGTCATTATATATAACAATTATTTAGTTATTTTTATACCTTTTATTTTTATTAGATTCTATTTTTGATTGCATATTAATATGGAAAAAAAGACCGTAGAAATCCACCTTATTTAATTGAGAATATTACCCGAAATAGGAGTGACAAAATTTGAAAATTCCAAAATAAGACTGTCATGTTTTTATTCCCAAAATAGGACTAATAGCTGCCATGTTTTGACAATACCAGACTTCAAACCATAGTCACATGGATCGTGGTACGCTTCGGTACGCGGTACGAAAACGGGAACGCGGATCGCGAATATTATAAATCCGATACGTGGGGGGGTAGGCTTCTTCGGTACGCGGTACGCTATACCCTATGTTTATGGTACGGTGAACCATAAACATATAAATTTTAACAAGTATAAATATAATTAATATAATATTAAACAATTAACTTCAATAACATTAAACAAACTTAACAAAGTTTGCAACAATAGAAGCTATAAAACAGTAAAAAAAGTTTCTGGATTTTAATATAATATAAATATATTAAAATTTATTGTAAATATACTATTTAGACAATTAAATATTCTTAGATTAAATTATACTCATTAAATTTTAATAAGTTAAACAAAGCTTCTATTTAATTTAGTATATTATATTTTAAATTAACCATAAATATAAATATACGTAATATACCTATGTGTTATAAATTAGATTTTTATACAAAGCTTCTATTTAATACGGAGTATAAATATACTTATTAGATTTTAATAAGTATAAATATAATTGATATGATATTAAACAATTGACTTCAATAATATTAATAGAAGCTATTATCTAGTGCGTTGTTTCATCCTTTAAAGTCGCCGACCTTTGTTAGGAAGAAATCGCTGGAAACTTCAAGTGGCCTGCGTCGTTTGGGACTTCAAGTCTCCTGTGTCGTTTGGCATGCTGGAACGAGTATCCCAAGATGGAGTCTGCGAACCAACATCGCGTAATACGCGACTTACCTATCTACAGCCGCGTTCCGCAGTCGCGAACCAGATGCGTACTGTACGCAGTCGTACCGCGATCCGGTACGGACGATCCGGAACGGGAATCGTGGGCTGTCCAGCGATTTCAATAACTATGCTTCAAACATGACAATATTTTACAAACTTGGTAGTAAGGGCATCCTCATCCATAGATTATTTTAGAAATCATTGTGATGATGTGGAAGATTTATTTTGAGATCATGATTGAGAAGTTAGGATTATTTGTAGAGATTATTTGATAAAATAATCTGGTATCAAATTCTAAAGCTAGATTATTTGAGGATTATTTCCAATTTCTAGGTTCCTCTCCCAATGTTCTAGACACACTCATTGATTATGTTAAGGAGCTCATGCATGCCATACTCCAAAAATACGAAGAGCTGAACTGATGCGCATGCGCTATTCCTTTAAATGCACTGTCCGTTGAATAAGTAAATCCAAATTGAAAGTGCATGTGCTACATAGTGTTAACCATCCAAGTTCAAATCAATCCAAATTGAAAGTGCGTGTCATTTTATTTGGCACTACTACATATGCATGTTTTAATACATTAATTGAAATATTATTAAAGAAAATATAAATGTTATAAATTACAATATATAATGTTAGATACAATAATTTATAGTGCACGTATAGTACTTTATTAATATAGTATGTAATTTGTAGTAGTATAGTACATGTATATAATAGTGTACGTATAGTATTATATATATATGTAGTATGTAATACGGAGTATAGTTTTTGAAATTGAGTGTATGTCTCATAAAAAATCTAGGTAAATTAAGATCATGAATGTTGAGAAATTTATTCGTTTGGAGATTATTTGAGATTATCTTATGTGGAGGTGACATGACAATAATAAGCCATGAAAAACCGTAAAGTTGAGGATCATCAATGTGGATGCTCTAATTACTCATATTTTGGGAATAAAAACATGGCGGTTCTATTTTAAAATTTTAGAACTTTTTTAGTCCTATTTCAGGAACTTTCTCTATTTAATTTGGTAACTTTTCAAAATCGTTTACATGTTTGAGAAGTATTAAATTTAGTAATTGGAATCACAACTTTATTTTCAAATTTATTTGATAAAAAAAATTGCGTCCCATTTTCTAAAATGTAATATTTTATTTTTCTAAACTCAATGTTACGTTAAGATAATGATAAAAATCCTTTTTTTAAAGAGATAATGATTAAAATTATAAGCCCCAAAAGTAATTGTGTTAATACTTCTTATTTTTTTGCATCTTCATACAATTCTTTTTTAATTATTAACATAATGATGAAAACTATAACCACCATATTGTTGAAATTAAAAACGAAACTAATACTATTAGATATTCAAATATAGAATCTCTTAAAAATAATGCTTCTGATCAAGTAGCTTACCTTATTTGATAAGGATGTGATGGTCCCGGATAGAGGTAAAAGTCTAGAGGGGGGGGGGTGAATAGACTTTTAAATCTTTTTCAACTTTATGAAGTTTTCCCTCTAGATGAGTTGATCTATAATCTTTTAAGAGATTAATAGATGCACAGCGGAAGTCTTTAACCTCTTTATACTTAGTGTGAGATAACTTTCTAGTTTAGATGATGTTTAGACTGGTGACAAGAGGAAGTAGGCTTGGCAGTAGACTGGTGAGCAGGTAACTGCTTAGTCTACTGCTGCACAGGCAGTTTGCTGACTGGCAGGCAACTGCTGAGTTGGCAGTCGGCTGGTGGGCAGGTTACTGCTGAGGCAACTGTTAAGAACAGGATGACTCTTGGATGGCTTTTTGTTCTGGCTTGTTATGGCGTTCGGAAAGACACATATGAATGGGCAGTGGGCTCAGCAGGAGGGTGAAGACCAGGGTACTGCTGAGGCACCTTCTGAGTGTAAGATAACTTCTAGTGGAAAACACTCTCAAGGAGAGTGAGTTATTAAGCAGTAGGCTAAGCAGTACAGTCGATGAAGACTACTGCTTAGGATGCTGCTGGCAAACTACAATCCTTTAGTGAGATGTGTTTGGTGTGTGCTTCTGCATGTATGAAAGTAAATCAACACACGATATATCCTGGTTCAGAGGTGGTGTAATCCTCCTACATCCAGTCCCACCCTATTTCAGATGGATTTCCACTAAAGTATTCAGCCCAATACAATTAGTGCCAATCTAGCCTTGACAACTCTGGCCTAGATTGAAGGTTTTTCACGATGAGTATAACACCACTCAAAGTTACTCAGTCCTTAAGACTTTTCTCGATTGATCCAGTGGGGATCAAAAGGTACTCTATCTATCTAACCACACTATAGGATCCGAACAACTGTTCTCCTAAGTGTTTACAACCACTTGTAAAATACAAGGAATTTCTGGCCTACCAACTAAAATCTAAGCTCTAAAAATATGACAATTTATGATCTAATCTAAGAGCTTAGTGAAGCATGAGTCAAAGCAGAGTGTTCAAGCACTTTCTCTTTTGCTGGATATGCGTAGTGTAATGACTGAACCACTTGCTTTGAACTCAATGACTTGCCTTTGATCTCATGCTTCTGCCTATTTTTATAGGCATCTCCAGTAGATTAATCTCCTCCGTTGGTTAAGAGGATTTAATCCTAGACGTCCAAAGTGTTGTACTTGCGTCTTCTTGTGTTGGAGCAGGATAAGGATTTGTCTTTTGAAGACCACTTGCTTTGTACGAAGATAACACCCATACCTTAGGCCTTCTTATCGCTGCATGCCTATTCTGAAACTTCTTCACTATTCACCCATTCTGATGTTTTCTCTGCTCTTGCATTTTGGCCTGTCTTGCAACTATACTCGTGAAGCTCAGTGCGTGAACCTGCTTAAGTAGTGAAGTAGTAAAATGTGTGACTTAGAATATTTTGTATCAAATAAATTTTGTACTGGTAGGATCTTTGAAATATCCTATTAAGGTAATAAGATTACCTTATTGCATTTTGTTCTTTCCAGTACAATTTATTTGGTACAAATTTCACAGTAAAATTTGTCACTTATTTTACTAATCACTTTCTTTCTTTAAGTGACATGATTAAACTTATGTACCAAATTTAAAGCTATACTGGTTGGATCTAAATATCCATGTAAGGTAAATAATTTTTACCTTATTGCATTTTATAGTTCCAGTATGTTTAATTTGATACATAGTTTGTACATTGGAATTCTTGTCACTTTTAAGCATTTAATGCACGAGTTAACTTAGACACAAAATTCTGGTGCAAAGTATAGTGGCATCATCAAAATCATCATAGTTGGGTCCTAACAGGATGAAAATTGATATCTCACACACACGTGTATGTACGTATGTATATAAATTTTCACAAGTGTATATATGTATATACTTCTCGTGTATATACATATACTTTGAGACCCAGCTGGGTATATACACGTGCTAGTTGGACAATGTATATCAATTTTCACTTGTGATATTCAAAGTATGGACAATGTATTTATGTATATACACGTGCTAGTTGGACAATGCATATATTATACTAGTTTCTATCACGCGCGATGTGTGATAACATAAATGCCCAATTGGATTTGTATGTATCTATTTGCTATGGGCATGCATGCATACATAGTTTGATAAAACCGAAATGAAATTTCTTGTTATCACCCAAACATTAGGAGGGATAAAAAATGTTCTGCATGTTGGGGCAAACTAACCCCATTCAGTCATGAATCCATATCAAAATATATGTCAATTTTCAATTTAAGGAAACAACAACCAAAATAAATCATTATATTTCAATACAGAATTTAAGAGAAATACTCAATGAGTCGATGGCTATTTAAATTCTTAAACTTGTCCACTAAACTTCAAATTCAAGATCAGTAGTCTTGAACTCTTGACAGAGGAATATGGATGTGTGAATGTGTGATCACCAAGTCAACTTGAAATAACACCATGCATCTATCTAGTTAATTAGTTCTCGTAGCATCTCTTACTTTGTAATATTTTAACCATGAATTCTTTATTACCAGATCAATGGTCACCCTTGCATATAACCAAAAACTCCTCTGAGCCCAAATCTGACGTGTTACATATACATTAGAAGTTAAGGTTGTTCGAGAAAAACATAACCTAAACTAAATATTTGAGATGATTGAAATGAAAGCATAACCTTTTCACAGAAACATAAAACTTTAACCAAACAACACTATCGATTTAAAAATAAGGTGGCTTGTAAACCGGAAATTCAATTCATCTGTCAAGGTTTAAGTGTTCTTTATCATATCAATAAAGTATTTCAGTACTATGTATCACTAGACTAACAGAACACACATTGCTTAGAGAGAGCCTTAATTAGTAGAATCAACTTATTACTTACATACAAAATTGAGAAGGGGTGACCCTTGTATCAACAATCCAAAAAATTATATAGAAGTACATATGATGTATAGTTTAGTTTTGGAAAAGAACTTGATTAATGTAGTTTGATGAAAATGAAGGTTAATAAGAAAATCACAAATACTGTCTTAATATTGTTATGAAAAACACAAATAGAATCAGTTTTTGGCAAAGGATGTGAAAATTTTCCAATTCCATATCGGAACCACTTTGAGAGTACTTGCACTTCCGCTTCAGAGATTTGAATAAAAGGCTTGGAATCAAATTCAAAAGCTTTTCTTACTGGTATATATTCGAGTCTGGTTGCTATTGGAACACAGCAGTAGCGGCGAAATTTATAATCCTTATGCTTGTCGCCTACCTTCTGCCTGTATCGCCGACTAACATCTGAAAGAGAGACGCCATGTCCTCTTAAGCCCTTAATGTCCCAAAGCTCAGTATGTAATCATCAAGCATATATATCATTAAACAATTGGTGATACCATTTTATAGGAAGTGTAATTGACTATTAATGGTGCAATCAGCAATAAAAGTATGAAACAATTGACAGGAATTCCGATCTCTTCTAGCCTTTCTGTTCAGCTAACTTTACAATGTAAGAAATTTTACCTAATTTACAGTTTGGTGCATCATCCTTCTGCAGACCCCTCAGTTATGGAGCTGTCATTTACTGGACTTCCCGGCTCTGTTGTAGTGAATCCCTCTTCACTAGTGAAGATGTTTTGATTGGGAGAACATGCATTTTCGGTTTCTGGAGTTTGTGGATGAAATTCTTGCATTGTCTGTGCATTGCCTTCATCTGGATTTTGAGACTCCTTTGATGGTTTCTCCTTTTCTTCATAGAAAGCTTTTGCTAATGCAGAAAACTTCTGTTGGATTGAGAAGTCGGATTTTAAGATATCCTTGCTCTGATATAAGAAGGAGCAGAAGAATATGAGAAGAGCTGATAAAGCAGACACACCAGCAATAGTGAAAAGTCCTATAAAACTGTCCAGTGCCAAGCTATCAGAAGCAGCCAAGTTTCCATCTCGCTGTGAGCATTCTGTTCCTTTTCCAAACAATTTATCCGTTATTCTCATCATAGTCTCACTCTCTGTCACACCTAACAGTGCTCTTGAGACATCAGGCACCAATGGGGATCCCCTCGAAAATGCCTGCAGAAATGAGAAAAACGCCTATCAACCATCTGATATGATGTTGTTTATCCAAGTTAGTGCATGTTTGGTAAGAGCTATTTAACTGAATATGCTTAATTTTCTGAAAGAAAAGCCAAACAATTCAAAAGCTACTTACTCTTTCTCAGTCTGCTGATAAAGAAAAGATAAGCTGAACAATTCACAAGTGGCTATCAAATACAACCTTAGAGATTAGAGAACTCACAAATCCAAATCCAGCAGTCTTGTAGGTTGGACCAATTATAGTGTACTTCCCACAATACTTTGCAAGGAATATCCTGATAAAGGGCAGCTCATCCACAATAGCAGCAACTCCACCATTTCTACTTCCTTTTGTAAGTGCTTCATCATACTCTTCTAAAGTGCTGTAATTCCTAATTTTCGTTCTCTCGAACTTCATGTTATATAACATCCCAGCAACATAGGAACCATCTTGGACTCCCACATACTCCCCATTCTTGATCAGATCATTGAGATCAGTGACAGTGGGCTGCAACTGTTGTACTGTTAACATAGATGTTAAGCTTGCTGTGTAGCTGGATGTCAGGACAAGAACAACAAACACCCATACTATGATCACGAATTTTGATAAATTGCTTATTACCCTTTCCTCTGCAATGAAATAAGTAGTTTTTGAAAATCAGAATAATATTGATATATGTAGAATGTAACTTGCTTGAGTACTTACTGTGTGCAAAAACAAGCGTTGAGAAGGAGAACCAGAAGATCATTCCAACTTGCTTGTAGCGTGGACCTTGGAACTCTTTGTTTACTTGGTGTTCAAGTACCCAAATAGCGGTGCCGATGAAGACAAAGGACATTGCCGTCGTCACCCAAAGCTCTTTCTTCACAGGTTTCAAGAAAATCCATCGATTCTTCTTGTCACCTTGCTTGACTGGGACGACTGTGGTGACCCCAGACTCTGTAAATGGTAAGCTGAAGTCCACATGTTTGGACCGCTTCGCTAAAATTGTGACATCACCAACTACTGCATCAAGTTTCTGTCAGAAGCCAACGAAATGTAAGTATAGCATGAAATATGTAATGGTATGGTTGAATCCTGGAGAATACCAGTGAAACAAATAAATCACTAAGAAAAGTTATTTTCTTGGTTTTAGTTGTACCTCTTAAAGTGCTAAAGAAAGTGAAAGATGATTTTTTTAAATTTTTTAGACGTGTTAGACTTCCCTGTCATTATGTAAACAAAATAAATTGAGTTTGAGCAAATGTATAGAATTATTTAATTGAGTTTGATTCAATGTTTACTTTTCCTTGTATTATATTTTCCTGGCATTTTCCAACCTCCAAAATAGACCTTAGTGCTATGAACAACTGAGTGCTAGTATGGAAGTCAGTATTACCCCGGAAAAGATCTGATCAACGAAGTCATCGTAATTTGGAAGGTTTTCACCTAGAGGGATTGGGAATGGTATATACTCCACTGGTACAGAATAAGGCATAGACCTCATGACTTCTTCAAAAACTTCTACACAGAAACCAGATGCTTTTACAGCTTTTGTCTGGGGATCAATTGTAACCTTCACAAATTGCTCCAGTCCTCCTTTAACAGGAACTCCTACCCTCAACTTTGATTCACCTGTAGGAATCTCCCAGCCTTTAGGAACAGCAGTAGACTGACCTGGCCATAAGATGGCACCGAGATCATCTTGCTTAGCAGAGTAAAGAGTTGTAGTGTTTGGGTTTGGTTGATTGGAAATCCCATACTTCTCTGTCCAGAACCCGATCCCTTTCTCTCTGCCTACCACATTCATAATCTCAAATGCAGATGGTTGTAATTCTCCATCAACTATGTGGAAATCACCAGTCAGTCCTCTGAATTTGATGTTTCTCATTGATTTGAGTAGCAAAGGCCCCAGACGTGAAGTACCAATTGCATCCAGATCTGTTAGATTATCCTTTTTATTGAGAGTTCCGTTGAATTTTAGACTTGTAGTGCCTACTTTCTCAAGTGCCATGGCTAAAGCCACGGCGCTGTCATATGCCCATAGCCCAAATACAGTGAGCTCTATTCCATCCAAGTCTGGATTTTGTCGACGGAATTCCTTTGATTTCCATCTCATGGTGAAGTTATTCAGCTTAGCTGAACTTGGGACGTAAGGCTTCACTCCTATAACCCCCTGCAGTGTGTCAAGAACAGAAGGTTTCATTGAAACCAGAAGACTAGTGAATTCATCCGTGATTATCCATACATATCCAGTACTCATCATTCCAGCTTCTTTCACTTTAACAAAAAACCGAGGAGCAAAAGTTGGATGCAAATGGACTATGAAGACACGTGTCTGCTTAGACTTTAACTTTTTTAGCTCCTCCATGATCTGGTCATCATTTGCTGATGGAGAAAGTATGCTTCTATCAGCTACTGAAACACTGATATCCATCATGGCATCAGTCAGATGGGGAAGGATCCCACTGCCAAAGTTGCTGTTTTCGTAGATAAAAACGACTTCCCTCCAACCAAAGGCCTTAACAATTGCTGCAATGGCTTTAGCCTGCGCACAGGAGCAGTAAGCTGCTCTGATGAAGTATGGGTTTTGGCTGGCTGAAAGAGAGGGACTCGTGGCTGATGAAATGATGGGTACTCTCACTTTCTTCCCTATGTCTGTTATAAAATCTGCTTGTGTGGATCCTTGAGGGCCTAGGATGGCTTGTACTTCAAAATTCTTCAGCAGGTCTATGGCTGCATATAAATTAAACAATGATTCAAACTTTTAGTGGAACACATGGATATAGGAAAAAGTATTGCCAAGAATAATGCTTGAAAGTTTTTTTCTGTCTCATTTATGTTTGATATTTCTGAAACAGGAGGAAGATTACCAGCAGATGCTGCACCAACATCATCCAATGCGGAATCTCTGAAGTGAGGGACAATTCTGGTAATGTGATTGCGGTTGGCATAGATATCAGCTAGAGCTAACGATGTACAAGCAGCTCTCATCTTTCCAGATATGGTGTCTCTATCAAGAATAACACCAACAGCAACCTTCACAGCACTGGTGTTCTGGCCAGCTACAGGGGATGTGGAGATGGTAGTTAAAGCTATTACCATCATTTTTATCATTAAAAGGATATTTAAGACTTTTGGAATCTCCATTTGGGGAGGGCATAAACTTGGCAAAAAAAAAATGTAGTCTTGGATGGGATTTAAGCTTGCATATATTGTTCCCACAAAGTTTAGACCTGGATCACTGGATGAACTGAGTTTCCTGGATGCCCACATTGCTTTGTCATAACTTGGACCAATTCAAAGGAGACTTTTACTCATTTGTGAACCAAACTGCCTTGATTGCTAACTTGCTAAGTATCCATTTTAATGTTTGTTTCCCTCATTATTTGAATTATTCACTCTTGATAATTAAACTTTTGTGGATAATTATTGCTAAGTATCCATTTTCTTTTGAAAATGTAGTTGACGTTGTTGATAATTAAACTTTTGTGGGATTCTTATCGGGAAATTGAATTTCACGAATCAATTGAAAAAAAGTATTTTAAGAGTAGCTTTTTGACCACAGCTGAAGTCAATTAGGAAAACATGACCCATAATTATTTGTTTAGGAATTTTCTACCGTACCTTCCTAGATAAATGAGGTACTAAGTTAATATAGGGAGTACTAAGTTTGATTATTTGTAATTTAGTCCCTAATAAAGAAGTAGTTTGCAAGCCGTAAGTTATACTGTACAGTCGGGTCACCTGGTGTACATGTATATCGCGGTATTTTTGAAATTCTTTATAATTTGAATGTCAATTTAGTTCTTTGCTATGTATTCCTCCAATCTTTCATGCGTGCATCTGCAATCTTTTCGTAGTTTTGTGTGTTCTCTAACTTTTCTTTTGTTTCATGCCTTCATACGTTGATCTTTGTTTATAACCTTTTCCCCTAAACCAAGCATTTTAGTCGGTTGTGAGTTTACTGTGCATAGTGAGAGGTCTCGAGTTCGAAACACGCTAGGCACATAAGGGTTTGAAACTCAATGGAGTGAGTTTCAGGCCCTGATTACTCTAGACTCCCCCAACGGTGGACGCAGGAATTTCCGGTAGCAGGGGCGGCAGTACAAAAATATACATACAAATACATATACATTTAAAATTTCGGGGTAAATTGTTTTTCCCTTCTATGATCTACACAAATCTCAATCGTATAATTTTTACTTTATATTTCACATGCAAGTCAATTTTAGTCACATTTTATGTGGGGGGTATTAATTACTACTCTCTCCATCCCCCTAACTTTATCCCGTTTTACCTTTTCTGTCCATCCCATTAAGTTTGCATCTCTCATACCATATTTGGTTATATTTGGGTGGTTATATAATTCATTCTTAAATTACTTTATTCACACTTTATCAATACCATATCAATCATGCAATTCTACTTTTTCTTAAAAACCACATCACACCCCTTTATCCCAAATTAAATTTAGGGGGACGGAGGTAGTATCATTTTCCTTTTTAATAATATTTGCATCTCAATTCATCATTCATGAATATGATGTAATACTTTTTAATGGGTATGAATCATTAAATGTCTAATTGGAGGGAAAAAGCAAGGTGTTACACCTTGTGTTACTTTATGTTTTTATAGATAGATAGATTATTATTACTATTATTATGAATATTCTTATCATCATTATTTATTATTATTATTTTGAATTGAAAATATTCCAATTACTTCAATATTCATGTAACTCTTATTTTTTAATGGGTATGAAGCATTAAATGTCTAATTAGAGGGAAAAGCAAAGTGCTACACCTTGTTACCTTATATTATTATATTATATTATTATAGATAGATAGATTATTATTACTATTACTATGACTATTCTTATTATTATTATTATTATTATTATTATTATTATTATTATTATTATTTTGAATTGAAAATATTCCAATTACTCCAATATTCATATAACTCTTATTTTTTAATGGGTATGAAACATTAAATGTCTAATTGGAGGGAAAAGCAAGGTGCTACACCTTGTTACTTTATATTATTATTATAGATATAGATATAGATATAGATAGATATGAATATTCTTATCATTATTATTTATTATTACTACCTCCGTCCCATTTTATATGTCTCTTTTGATTTTGACACAATTTTTAATAAAGTAGTTGAAAAGGTAAAAGTTGCGGTTGAGATTTGAGTGTAGTAAAGTGAAATGTTGTGAACCACATACTGCTTTCCAAAAAGGGAAAAATGATACTTATTTTGGGACAACCCAAAATGGAAAGTAAGACATGTAAAATGGGACGGAGGAGGTATTATTTTGAATTGAAAATATTCCAATTACTCCAATATTCATGTAACTCTTATTTTTAATGGGTATGAAGCATTAAATGTCTAATTAGAGGGAAAAGCAAAGTGTTACACCTTGTTACCTTATATTATTATTATAGATAGATAGATTATTATTACTATTATTATGACTATTCTTATCATTATTATTATTATTTTGAATTGAAAATATTCCAATTACTCCAATATTCATGTAACTCTTTTTTTTAATGGGTATGAAACATTAAATGTCTAATTGGAGGGAAAAGCAAGGTGTTGCACCTTGTTACTTTATATTATTATAGATAGATATTCATGTAACTCTTATTTTTTAATGAGTATGAAACATTAAATGTCTAATTGGAGAGAAAAGCAAGGTGCTACACCTTGTTACTTTATATTATTATAGATAGATGTTAAGCCGAATGTATGCAGAATTTATTAAGTTTTAATGATATATATTTATTTAAAATTGGGTATTTGTAGTGTTTAAAGTGTTTAATTATAGTGTAATATTTTTCAATATTATTGTCACTTTGGCAAATAATTAATATCACTTTTATGGCATAATTTGATCAAGATGGAAATAATAGTAAAAGTATTGTAATTAGGCTAAAGGGCCAAATAGCTCCCGTCTGAATGCTCAATTCGCCCCCTGAATTCTAAAAAGCTCCAATTCACCACTTGATCTCAACAATAAAGTTCAAATCTCATTTTTTGCAGGGAAAAGTCTGGTCACCGTCATGTCACCCGGTCATATGCTAATCGTGTATCCCAAGTGGCAATTTAAGGGGTCAAATAGGGCTCTGAACTCGACATAGTTGTTCAATTTACCTCTTCAATTGTTAAAAAGTGTCAAAATTGCTATTAAAAATAAGAAATTAAAAAATAGAAAATAAAAATATAAAATAATATACAAGTTCATAATATAAAATATAGACTTCTATTTATAATATAATAAAAAAAATTATAATTTTGCGGTAAATTAAATTTATAAAAAAACATAACAAGAATAAATTATTTTTAAATAAATAATATAAAAAACTAATAACTATTTTCATATTATACTTTTTATATCGTATAAATTATTTTATGACATATATATTTAATACTCCGTATGAAGTATAGTATATAATTCTAGAATAAAATAATACAAAGTATATATACATATATGCATGTGTGTGTAATTTTACATATAAATCTAAAACATATTAAAAATATTAAAAAATATCAAATGAAAAATACAACTCTGAAATATAAATATAACATAAATTGTAAAATACAAAACCTAAAATATGTTTTATAATACCAATTATTACATATAATTCACAGAATACAAATTTAATTTTAATTTGTAAGAACACATATTGTTTATTTAAAAAAAATATAGATTTAAAATATCAAAATGTTTTAATGAATTTCTTTTAATAGATGCATGTATTTTATACTTTCGACTTGTATCTTATTTCATATTTTTATTTTCTATTTTTTATTTTCTGTTTTTTTTTGCAATTCTTACACTTTTGAACGGTTGAGGAGGTAAATTGAATAACTCTATCGGGTTCAGGGGCCTATTTGACCCCTTAAATTGCAAATTGTCACGTGGGATGCACGGTTGGCATCTAACCAAGTGACGTGGAGGTGACCGGACTTTTACCTGCAAAAACTGATATTTGAATTTATTTTGTCAAGTTCAGGGGTGAAATGGAGCTTTTAGAGTTTAGGGGCCGAATTGAGCATTTCAGACGGATCCAAGGGTCCGTTTGACTCTTTAGCCTTGTAGTTATAGTCCCATGTTTTCACTTGTATAGTCCCATGTTTAGCCTTGATTTTAAGTTTCAGTCTATTTTATCTTAAAAGTGCCATCACATCACACGAGAATGCCATCTTTTTATCTGAAATCACCATATTTTTTTGCATTTGTAAATGCAATATTTTTAGATATGTGAATGCCATGTTTGCAAAGACAATCTTTTGGGAAGAGACAACCACATCAGCGGAGAAGACATATATGAAAGATAATACTCAACCACTGCCTTGTGAAAAGTAGTCGGAGAGCGGCAACGACTCCTTGGAGTTGGTGACGGCTGCTTCCATGAGGTGGCAAACTCGCCGGAAGACTGCGATGGTGGTTCTTCAACCAGTGGCGGCGGACTAACCGGACGTCGGCAGCCGTGGACTCGCCGAAAGACGGCGACTGCAGACCAGCTGAACGGTGACGGCGGACAAGCCGGACGGCTGCAACGACGGAGGACCAGTCAGGCGGCAGAATAATGCTAGGGTTTTGATTGGTTTTTAACAAATTATTTAATTTTTAATTGTAAATAAATCTAGAACTTTATTAAGGGTATTTTAGACAAGTCATTGCATCTTTAGGATGTTTTTACTTTTGACTTTAATTTGTTGGTCTGGTCTGAACTGATCTGGTAATGTTTGGTCTCTTTATATTTTTATAACTATCCAAGTCTGGTCTGGTCTAGTCTAGTCTGAATTGGTATGATCTAATCTAATCTGGTCTGAGACAAAAAATAGTCCAAGTAGAAACATTTTACTCCTACTCCCTCCGTTCCGATTTGTTTTGCAAAATTTCCTTTTTTGTCCGTCCCAAAATGATTTTCCACTTCTATTTAAGGTATGGAAGTATGAACAAAATGACTGGCCTACTCTTACTTTTACCTTTGGCATTTTTTACTCCCACCCACCCCATTTACGGAAGAGTAAATCAATTTCAATCTACCCTCTTCTCTCCCATCTTCAATTACACACTAGGAAGCACGAAAACTCTCCATGGCTCACGTTTCCTAATCAATTTCAATCTACCCTCTTCTCTATTTTTAGAGGCAAGGGCAAAATTGGAAGCTCAAAATAAATTTATAACCTGCCTGTCAAAGTTTGTATCGTTTCGGGGTTGGTTTGCAAAAGCTTTAAAAAAAGCACTTCTCGGCTTTTGACTTTAAAAAAACACTTTTATTACCAAACACTATAACTTTTATTTTTCTCGTCTTTCGTGTCAAAAGTGCTTTTACTTTTTCTATTACACAAAAAACACTTATTTTACCAAACACTACCAACTTTTACTTTTCAAAATCACTTTTTTCTCAAACACTATCAACTTTTATTTAATCACTTTGTTCCCTTCGAACTCCTTGATAGAGTTGATGATCATGTGCCCGCGGGTCTGCCCCAGAGACGATGGATGATCAGACTAGGCATGGACCCGGCCCAATTCGGGCCCGTTTCAGGCCTAGGCCCAACCGGGCCTCAGTTCAGGAAAGGGGAGGCCCGGAACCGGCCCGGGTAACCCCCGGGTCCGGGCCGGGCCTCGGTTCAATATTTTTTTTTTGCCTTTTCCTAATTAACCCCTAACCACCCCTCCTCACCCCAAACCATCCCAAACATCTCAAATGACCCAAAATACCCAGCCCAACCCAAGAACCTAAAAAACATTCAAAAAAAAAAAAGAAAAATAAAATAAATTGCCCGAACCGGCCGGGCCGGTTCACGTTTTGAGGGGCTCGAGCCCGGACCGGAACCCCAGCGGGCCGGGCCTACCCGAACGGGTCATTGACCGGGCCACCGCGCCGGGCCGGAACAGTGCCGGTTCGGGCCGGTTCCGGGTCGGGCCACCCGGCCTGAGTCCATCCTTAGATCAGACTGATGGATGGAGTTACTTCTACCCGTGGGTGGAGTTGGCCTTAGGGATGGCAACGGGGCGGATCGGGGACGGTTTTACATATAACCGTACCCGCCCCGTTTGGTAATTCCCCCGCCCCATAACCGCCCCATTACCCAACGGGTAATTTTTACCCAAACCATAACCGCCCCATCGGGTAACGGGTATAACCGCGGGTAACCGCGGGTAATCACTTTATTAAATGAGTCATTGATATTTTAATAAAAATAATATTTTAAAATGCGAAAAATGACATCACCTAGACGACGCTAAACTCATACGCTACTTTACAGCTTCATATATCTATAAGACGAGAAAGAAGACAACCTAAATTAATTTGAACCTAAAAATACTTAATCTGAAAAATAATTAATCACGAAAAATCATATAATAATCAAACAAAACTATTAAGTTCTATTGAGAACTTTCATTCTTACACTATAGTTAGTACATCTATTATCCATATATACACAATGAACATTAAAAATCTCATCTTTTATTAGTCGTGGGACAAATAATAGATAAGAATGTAATAAAAATATAACTAAAAATAAACGGGGCGGGTAATGGGGCGGGTAATGGGGCGGGCATGCATAAAACCGTAACCGCCCCGTTACCCGTAAAAACAAAACGGGTATTCCCCGCCCCGTATCCATTACCCGGTCAATGCGGTTTTCCCCGTTTTGACCGGGACGGGTATCCATCGGATCGGTCACAATTGCCATCTCCTTCGTCACAGTGAAGCAAGCCGCAGCCTACGGTTGCTGGTTGGGACTCGAGTGCCTTGGATGGTGATGTGGCGTTACTTAGGTTTGTCTGTTAATGATGACAGAATGCGTGAACAAGCAATATGAAATACGGAGTGCTAATTTATTAATGTTAGTTGCAAGAATTCTCTAGTTTTGATTCATCGCAACCATACGAAACTGAACCATAAATAACGCGGCTGGAAACTTACAACCCTTGCTACTATAATTAAATATATTAAGAATTTTAAGATATTTATGCTTCAGCTTTCTGCAGACGGTGATGAACCAGGACTTGTCTGTTCGGTTATATGTGGATCCAGAATCTCATCCTGAGTGGAAGTGTCTTGCTCTGGAGTTTGTGCTATTCTGGTGTCTGGTCTTTGCGGTTCATGAAGGGTAGGCAGTGGCTGTGGAGAGGAGACAGAACTTTCTTTTGGCTTCTGGGACTCTCCAGGCGAGTCTTCTTTTTCTTTAAAGAACGCGTTTGTCAATGCAGAAAGCTTTTGCCTGATTGAGATATCAGATGTGAAGATACCTTTGTTCTGGTTAAGGAAGGAGAAGATGAATATGAAAAGGGCTAATGTTGCAGATACACCAGCAATGGTGAAAAGGCCTTTGAAACTGTCCAGTTCCAGGCTGTCAGAAACAGCCATGGTTTCATCTTTTGCTTCATTCCCAAACCATTTACTGGTTATTTTCATCATAGCATCGCTCTCTGTCACATTTAAGATTGCTCTTGAGACATCAGGTACCAAAGGAGATCCCATTGGAAAAACCTGCAACAATGAGAAAAAGTCCCACACCCAGGCTATGTTTAGGTGATCGAATGTGGAGGGGATTGGATGAGGATGCTATACGATTTTTCTTAACTGCTACTCCGTATGTAGTACTGCTACGTATATATATATATAAATATAGAATTATCAGTTTCTATTTTATCTTTATTTCGCTTTGGTTTTGAAGAACTGCTAATTTTAAGCAATGATCACTCGAGTGTTAGAATTTGGACGAGGGTTATACATGATTTATCTTATTTAAAAAAATGAATAGAACATTCAGTTTCTAATGAATGTATCTTCTTTTATTCCTTTTGTTTTCAAAACTGTTAAGTTAAAGCAATTATCACATTGTCACCACCTTAATACAAGCTAGTTGGATAATGTGACATTAGATTTTTGTGCCAATTAATTGTAAAAAATATTTAACACTGTTAATTAATGCAGAAAGGCATATTGGAAATGTTCTTATACAGAAAGCAAAAATGCATAATGGTTAGTCGGCAGTGCTTTAAAGCAACAACTTTTTAAAATGAAAAGTAACCCCTCCCCTCCAAAACCCTAGCCCCAAACATAGCCTTAATGATCTGAGGTGATGGTTCTGGTTGTCAAGATTAGAGAACTTACAAATCCAAAGCCAGCAGTCTTGTAGGTTGGACCAACTATAGTGTACTTCTCACCATACTTCGCAAGGAAGAGCCTAATATATGGCAGTTCATCCACGATAGCATCAACTCCTCCGTTTCTACCACCTTTCGTTAGTGCTTCATCATACTCTTCTAATTTGCTATAATTCCTCATTTTGTTGCTCTCTAATTTCATCCTCTTTAACATCCCAGCAACATAGGAACCATCCTGGAATCCAACATGCCCCCCGTTCTTGATCAGATCATTGAGATCAGTGACTGTAGGTTGCAATTGTTGTACTGTTAACATAGATGTTAAGCTTGCCGTATAGCTTGATGTCAGGACCAGAACAACAAACACCCATACTATGATCACGAATCTTGATAAGTTACTTATTACCCTCTCCTCTGCAATTTGTGAAAAAAGCTTGTAACTTGATTGAGACGACTAGAAGTAAAAAGTCGCAACTTACTCAAACACAACTCTTTTTTATGGGATTGATGAGGGAGTAGGTAATCTTTAGAACTTACTGTGTGCAAAGACAAGAGTTGAGAAAGAAAACCAGAAGATCATCCCAACTTGTTTGTGGCGTGGACCTTGAAACTCTTTGTTGACCTTGTGTTCAAGGATCCAAATCACAAAGCCAATGATGACGAAGGACACACCAGTTGTCACCCATAGTTCTGTCTTGAAAGGTTTCAAGAAAATCCACGCGTTCTTTTTTTCATCTTGTTTGACGGGAACAACAGTGGTGACCCCGGACTCTGTAAATGGTAAAGTGAAATCCACATTTTTGGAACGCTTTGATAAGATGGTAATATCACCGATTACTGCATCATATTTCTGCCAAAAAAGTAGTAAGTGCAAGTGTGACATTATAAATATAACGTAACTAAAGTAAATGAACAAATGAAGGAAGGTTGATAGATTCAGTATTTACCCCAATGGAGACCTGATCAACTAAGTGGTCATAGTATGGATGGTCTTTGCGTCGTGGGTAAGGGTCTGCTATATAATCAAATGGCACAGAGTAAGGCATAGACTTCATCACCTCTTCAAAAACATCTACACAGAAACCAGTTGCCTTTACAGTGTTTCCCTGGGGATCAATTTTGACTTCAACAAACTCCTGAAACCCTGTTTTAACAGGAACTCCTACCTTCAACCTTATTTCACCTGTGGGGATTTCCCAGCCTCTTGGAACAGCAGTAGAGTCTCCTGGCCATAAGATCGCCCCAAGATCATTTGCCTTAGCAGAGTAAAGGTTTGTACTATTTGGGTTAATTAGTTTCTTGGAGATCCCATACTTTTCTGTCCAGAAGCCAATCTGTTTCTCTCTACCTATCACATTCACAATCTGAAATGCAGATGGCTGTAGTTCTCCATCAACTATGTGGAAATCACCACTTAGTCCCCTGAATTTGATATTTCTTATGGATTCATGTAGCAAAGGACCCATTTGTGAAGTCCCAATTGTATCCAAATCTGTTGGATTCTCCTTATTAATAAATGTTCTATTAAATTTCAGACTCCAAGTGTTTAGTTTCTCAAGTGCTGTAGCCAATGCCATGGCACTGTCATATGCCCATAGCCCGAAAACATTGAGCTCCACTCCATCAATGTCTGGATTTTGTTGACGAAACTCTTTTGATTTCCATCTCCTGATGAAGTCATTCAACTCAACTGAACTTGGGACGTAAGGCTTCAATCCTATAACCCCTTGCAACGAGTCAAGAACTGAAGCCTCCATAGAGACCAAATGACTAGTGAATTCATCTGTGATCATCCATACATAACCACTGCTCATCATTCCAGCTTCTTTAACCTTGTTAAAGTAATATAAAAGTCATTTTATAAAACTTTAGTAAATATCGTTTCATGTTTTATTTGTATTACTATAATTTCCTATTCTCAATTGGTTTAAGGTTTAGTTTCATGTTCCTATTGGATTTGGACACTTTATTTCACTATATAAGTATTAGTTTTGAGACCTCATGTGGAATACTTAAATGTGCCCACATGGAGACTGGGACTATTTCCACTTTAACTAATGTCAGGAAATTGAGGCCAACGAGTCATTTGAATAGAAGTAGTGTACCATAGTTTGTTATATTTACGCACCTTTACAAAAAACTGAGGGGCAAAGTGTGGATGCAAATGGACTATGAAAACACGTGTCTGCTTCGTCTTTAATTTAAGTAGCTCCACCATGATCTGATCATCATCTGCTGATGGCGAAAGAATGCTTTGGTGTGCTACTGAGACACTTATATCCATCATGGCATCAGTCAAATGGGGAAGGATTCCACTTCCATAGTTGCTGTTTTCATAGATAAAAACGACTTGCCTCCAACCAAAGGCCTTAACAATTGCTGCAATGGCCTTGGCCTGAGCGCAGGAGCAGTAAGCTGCTCTGATGAAGTATGGGTTTTGGCTGGGTGAAAGAGAAGGACTTGTAGCTGGTGAAATGATGGGAACTCTCACTTTCTTTCCTATGTCTGTTACGAAGTCTGTTTGGGTCGATCCCTGGGGACCTAATATTGCGTGTACTTGATTGTTTTTCAGCAGGTCTATGGCTGCAAATATACATCACTAATGAAACATTAGACTCATAGATGAACTTATGAACAAGTAATTAGAAAATAGTATACTATCTCGTCCACCCATTACTCAACGAGAGGTGAACCCGGTTATGGAACCGGACTGGTCCAAGCCTGGTCATGTCCGGTTCCTCCCTTCTCACCACCTGCAACCGAAACTGGACCGGGTCAACCCCTACCTATGAAATGGCAAGACTAGAATTGTGACAAGTGTGCATTGACGCTAAACATCAATACATACTTGGCACGACATGAGACCATGAAGTCTTTACCGACCAGCAGATGCTGCGCCAACATCATTGGAGTTGGAGTCTCTGAAGTGTGGGACAATCTGGATTCTGCCATTGCTGTGGTTGCGGTCGGTGTAGAAATCAGACAGAGCAAGTGTAATGCATGCCCTTCTCGTCTTTCCAGATATGGATTCCAAGTCAAGAATCACACCCACACCAACCTCTACTGCGGTAGCATTCTTGCCATCACTTGCTGCTGATGTGGGAAAGATTATGAATGATATTCCAACAATTGAAAGAAGAATGAAATATCTTGTTGCAGCCTCCATGTTGGAAAACCTTTAACTTTGTAACGCATGGAATGATGAGGTAGCTGGTAGCAGTTCTGCTCAATATGTATGAGTTTTTGGGATTTGACAGTCTTTGAATAATTCGTTCAGAGTTTACTTCGACCATTTCGAAGAGGCACTTGTAAACTTGTTGACCCCTGGTCTGAAACTGAAGACAAAGTCCACTTAAGCCGTAATAATAATCTTCATTTCCTTGTTTTCATTAAATAGCTGTCACGTTGATTGACCTTGATAAGATGTTTGCCAGAACATTGGGTTTGGATACAGTAATAATCCTAGGACTACTTTAGAGTTTGGGGCGAAGACTTTTTCATAATTTTATGTTTTTTTTTAATCTGAGTGATCTATTTGTTTTTAAAAACATCCACACTTGAAAAAATACTAAAAACTTTAAAATGATCCATGCATATTGTACGGAGTAATATAGAGCCAAATATTAAAAAAGACGGTTAAATAAAACTGGCTGAACTCAAGCGAAGTTTTTTACTTTGGTATGCTGTGTAATATATATAGTGTTAGGTTTGATTTTTGTAGATTTATTATACAATAAAACGCTTACAATTTTCCTCATTTATGCTATCACATTACTATTTAAAGTGTTTGGACAAACAACACGTCCAAGTCAACCACAACTTTCTTTGAAGTTCAGGCAATCAGGCTCTTAAAGAGGTTAGCAACACAACTACGGAGTATATAAGGTCAGGAGGACATCAAGGTCTATTACTGAACGGGCCGAAAAGGTCTATCAAAGTATAAATGTGATAAAAGAATACACTTACCCAATAATAAAAGGGATTATATGTCTGGCCTTAGCCGTGTTTGGGGCTGAAACTGTTATTTATGATATGGAAATGGTGGACTTGCACTGTTGCACAGTTTTCATACTAAGGAAAGAAGGATGCTTTGAAGATCTTATAAATTCGATCTCTCTTACATACAGGCAATACTTGCTAGTAGTGGTCGAGGTAGAGATTATATTTGCAGTTGATTGATATTCACTTGTTTGAGCTGTTGGGCGGAAATTTAGTTGGACTATTTGTGCAAGAAAAGTGAGTAAAAAAATTATTGAATAGTAGTTGGGAGATTGCTTGAATGCATATGTGGACTCCTGAGCAAGATATTTGCAGGAATGTGTCTAGGGAATTTATGGCATTGCTACAGAACTTAAAATGAGATTCTAGTTTTTTTACAAACAAAATGTTGAACATGCAGTAACAGCATTATGTGATAGCTCTTGGTTCCATCCTTCTTTGGTTCCATACTTTCCATCCTTCTTTGTTCCATTTGGAAGCAAAAACTTTTATTTCTTGTTGCTATTTATATAAGTATTAAAATCATACTTACATTTTTAGAACCTACACTTATTTTTTCTATAACACAACTAAACGTAAAAGTAAAGGGGGCATTGCTAAGCCCCTACCCACTCCAAATTTGGGGAAAATATAATTCATGTGTAAAATTTTGTGTAGAAATTATCTTTTGACTGCATCAATGATCAGTGTAGTCATTTGAACGTTCTCTTATTCTCGTACTTTATATATCACTAGTGATCTCACCCGTGCGATGCACGGCATGAGATATTTTTTTAAAATGTATTTGTGCTCGACAATTCAAAACACTCTATTTATTGACGACACTATGCAATGCCATGTAGTAAAGATATACATAAACGCAATACACAAAACACACTTATAATAATGTGGTTAAAATTAGATTACAAAGCATTACTTAAAAGTTCAAAACCGTCACGGAAATACGTTACAACCATGACCTTGTAAATATCCTTTTCAAGTAAACCTAAACATTGTTGAAAATTTCTTTGAAATTTTGAATACTACATTTTGAGTCTTGTCAGTGGTTCCTTCATCTTCATCAACAATCAGAATTTTCAAACCACACCGATTGATCACCCTTGATACTGTAACATACAACTGTCTGTGGGTAAATACGGGGTTTTTCAACAACAACCCAACATGGGACAAAGATTGACCTTGACTTTTATTAATAGTCATAGCATATGAAGTCTTAATAGGATATTGCCGTCGATAAAATTTGAAAGGCAAGTTGGTATCCGATGGTGTCAAGGACAATATGGGAATTAGTACTTTTTGTCCGGCACTCACACTGGTTAAAATCTTCCCCTCCAAAACACGATCACCAAGCCTCGTTAGAATAAGGCGTGTCCCGTTACACAAACCCATTGAATGATCGATATTTCGCAAAAGCATAACCGAGGTCCCTACCTTTAACGTTAATTCATGATTCGGCACACCAGACAATTTAATACTATTTAAGAACTCAGGTGTGTGCAGCTCCGCCATTAGATCTGCCGTGGAAGCTACCTTAGATACAGTGTCAAAACTACGATATGTCCTCGAAACTTCGCCAACATTAAGCGTTGTCATATAGTCATTAGCAGCCTCAACCACAGCCAATGTCGGTGCCAAAATTGCACGGTCACGCAAACAACTCACATCACCGACAGATTCAACATATTCCGGAAATATGCTTTCTACGATCGCAGCTATAGGATCTCTATTCGTGCGTATCAATAGATCTTCAAGAATAGTAATACGAACATGCCCATCATTACTTTCACCAGCAACGCCCTCACCAATGCTTGCAATCCAATCTGAAAAGATCTTTTAATCGTAAGAATCCGATGGATTAGTTATGTTCTAGAGGCGCACATTTTTTGTGAGACGAAGGATTGTGCATTCAGGCCACAGATAAGATGAATTAATCATCGCATTGACTACGTCCTGTCTACTCCCATGCGGTGTCCTAGGCAACACCTGCTAAAAGCAAATCTTCAAATGAGTACCCTCAACTGCACGGTTTGAGACTGAAATAAGTCTTAAGTATAAACATCTCAAGTAATATGGTGATTATGCATTTATACGAATTGCATTTTTTACACGAATTGCCCGGATAAATTGGCAAATCAGGGGGGTGCAAATATGTGAAAGTGTGTTATGGCATTATTAAACAATACTCAAATATGATAATTCTTCAATCGGGCCTTAACCGGCTCTATTCGATCCTAGACTAAACCTGAGCTAACGAAAGCTGACTTGAACTAAATGTAAAGGAATTTTTTCGATATTTGATTTTCATAACCGATATCTTATGGATAGTTTTTTATATCATCGAAAAACCAACAGAGTCCGGACAGGTCCTACCCTTAACGCCATCATCTAGAACCCCGACAAATAATGAGATAATGTGAAATGTATTACTGATTGAGGTCAATTGCAATTAAAACGAAATTAAAAAATTTGTACGGAGTAGTTAGACAAAAATTTAATATTTCTTGCCAAAGACTCCTACATGACTTTTAATTTCTTAGCATATTTTGATCTAAAAAATTTCCCGGGTCATACAATAGAAAAGAATGTCACCAAGTCATATTCCGGGATTTTGTATGAGTTTTACTCATGCATGTATATTACCCTTATGTACAGTGGCGGAGCCACTCATGTTCAAAGTGGTTCTCATGAACACCCCAATGTTTTAAAAATATGTTGTGTGTGTGTGAGTGTGTAAATTAGGTATAATTATTTATTTCTCTTTAAATTTGTAGTTGTAAAAAAGCATTGAACACCCAATACTCAAATTCCAAATCCGCCACTGCTTATGTATATCTCTACATATCACGATGTACTAACCATAACACAGCCATACTTAAGACGAATATGTTGAATATATGATGGTATATATCACTTAACCAATATTATGGTTGATTGTAAGCGGTAAAATATAATACTCCCTCCGGTCCTAAATAAACTTTATAGTTTGACTTTACGTTTTTTGAAAAAGTGACATTTTTACTTTTGACTTTCTCATCATGCCCCTACAAAAAGGTGATGAAGTTTATTGGGAGAGAAAGTGAGTGTAAAGTAGGTAATAAAGTAAGGGTCTAGGGGTAACTTTATGTTAAAAAGTTGTCAAAAATAAAAGTGTGAAGTTTATTTTGGACCTACCAAAAAAGGAAAGTGTGAACAGTATTTAGGATCGGAGGAAGTATATGAATTGTCACAGTAAAATTAATTGCTCTAGTAATGCAAGCCAATCAGGGGGTGACCAATGGTGTATTCTCGGATAACTTGAAATTCACTCTATTATTTCCACATTTAGAGATCCTAATAAAAATGTATATTATTCAATTTTAATTCTATCTTCGTCTCTCAAAACTTTGCCAAGTTTGACCGGTACGGAGAATAATAAAATAAAAACGGTGTGATTGAAGCTTGTGCAGAGGAGAGAGAAATAATAGGAACCACGAAATATTGATTAAAAGGAAAAAACAAAGTTTTTTGGGACGTCCTAAAAAGGAATTATGACAAAGTTTTAAGGGACGGAGGGAGTATACTCTAAAAGTTTGCTGCATCTTGGGGTCACATTTATGATATTCATTATTCTTCGTTTTGTCGGGTTTGATATTTCATCTTGTCAAAATTCAACCGCTTCCTGAGCGTGAATTCATCTTTCTTTCTTAATCATCCACCTCCATTCCTTCAAAATCCATTTCAAATATTCAGTGAAAATTTTGGGTGTATATACATTTTTAATACGTTCATTTAAGTTTATGTGATACATTTACAAAAAATAAAGTACTTAGCATTTTAAAATATCGCAGAAGCTTATGAGTTATATGCATGTCCGATATAAACACCGAAATCCATGAAATTTGATGTCATCTAAATACATTTTTAATTATCAAATACAATTGAGTCTTGTATTTAACTTTATCATATTTTTATATTAATTGCTATAGTGCTATATCCTTTAATAAAAATAATAGAGGCTGAACTTATTTGTTAAGCTATATAGCCATTTCTCCCATTTTAAATTTGGAGACACTTAATTTTGAATTCGATATTTAACAAAAACAAATTATCAATTCATTAAAAACATATACTAAGTACATAGTATTCCGTAATAAATACTACCTCCGTCCTCCTGTTATTGTCCCATTGTGGTTTACGATGTTTGACCGACGATAAAGTAAACAGATCCCTGTCAGCACTCAAATTATTTTTAGAAAAAAAATTACATATTCAGAAACTACATTAAAAGCAAT